CCTGGCCTGCTGTGTTCCTCCAGCTCCACATTGTTATCTCATACACCTACCATCTTTTATGCGTAGAAGTGTTTAAGGTGGAGATAGTTGGACAGGAGGAGAAAAACGATAGAACTTTCTAGGTGCACTTTGAAAGTCATAATTGGCCTGCTGCAATTCCTCTCAGAGGAAGCATGGACAATCACAGGCCTGTGTCAAAGATAAGGGGACAAAGAAAATGACTGTTATTGGGGTAATTAGGAAAAGGTGATGAGGCTTCTTCTGCAATAGAGGCACAACTGACAGCTGAAGAATTCAGTACGTGACTGGATGGCTTGTGCAAAAAGTAGGAAGGATGGTGTGAATGCGACACCAACCTCTTCCATTCCAGGAGGGTTCTAGTCACACACATACGATTACGTAGGATCAATTACTGCAGATGCTGGAATCTGTACTGTAAACAGCAAATGCTGGAGATCACAGTGGGTCAGACAACATCCATGGAGAGAGAGTAAGCTGACATTGAGTTTAGATGACTCTTCATCAGAGCTGAAGTGAACTGTGGAGGGGACAGCATTTATGCCAGACTTGAAATAACAGACAGTGCCCACAGGGAGCGGGGGAAAGCAGGAAGAGGACATGGTGACAAGCTAAAAGAAAGGGAAGAAGTATTAGCTGGTTCGCAGTTTAGAGGTGTTGAACTCAATATTAAGTACAGAAGGCTTAAAGTGCCGAGTCTGAAGATGAGATTTTGCTCCTCCAGTTTGCGCTGTGATTCACTGGAACACTACAGCATGCCGAGGACAGACAAGTGGGCACACGAGCAGGATGCAGTGTTAAAATGACCAGCTACTGGAAGGTCGTGGTCCTACTTGCACACAGACCGAAGGTGTTCCACAAAGCGGTCACCCAGTCTGTGTTTGGTTTCTCCAACATAGAAGAACAGGCCACATTGGATGCAGCAAATACAGTAAACAGGTGAAATACTGCCCTTGGATTGGAAGCAGGGAGGTGGTGAAAGGGAAGATATTGCACCTTGTGGTTACACGGGAAGTTGCCGTCGGAAGGGGGATGGTGCTGTTGATCGTGGAACGGACTAGGGTGTCCTGGAGGGAATGATCCCTGTGAAATGCAGACAGGGGACTGTGTTTGGTGGTGGTGTCCTGTTGGAGTTGTCTGAAATGGCACGGAATGAACCTTTGAATGCGGAGGCTGGTGGGATGAAATGTGAGGACAAGGGGAACCGATCACGCTGTTGTGATTGACGGGAAGGGGACAAGGGTGGAAGCATAGGTGATAGGTTGGATGCAGTTGAGGGCCCTGTCAGCCACAGTGGGTGGGAAACCACGGTTATGGAGAAGCAAGCCACGTTAGCAGCGCTGTTTTGGAAGGTGGCATCATCCAAACAGATGCGGCATAGGCGAAGGAACTGGGAGAATGGGATGGAGTCCTTGCAGGACGTGGGGTGTGACAAGCTGCAATGAAGATAGTTATGGGAGTCAGTGGTTTTGTCGTGATGGCAGTGGATAGTTTATTCCCCAAAATGGAGACAGAGATATAAAGGAAAGGAAGGGAATTGTCGGAAATGGACAATGTGAAATTTACAGAGGAGTGGAAATTGGATGCAAAATGAATGACATTTTCAAGGTCCTGGCGGGATTATGAAGCGGCACTGAAGCTGTCATTGATGTACTGAAGAATGAGTTGTGGGATGGGACTGGTGTCAGACTGGAACAAGGGTCGTTGCACATACCCCATAAAGAGGCAGGCATAACTGAGACCTATGCAGGCACCCATAGCCACTCCTTTGACTTGGCAGGAGTGAAATGTATTAAAGGAGAAAGTGTTCAGAGAATTGTGTGGATGATGCAAAAGATGAAGCGATACTGAGGACTGGCGCAGCTTTGAGGGTGTAGAGTGGAGTCAAGTGGGCACATATGCTGGCACATGGCATTAATTGCCCAATGTAGCCTATTTTACATTGGAGAAACCAAACGCAGACTGGGTGACCATTTTGCGGAACACCTCTAGTCTGTCCGCAAGTAGGACCCCAACCTTCCCACAGTCGATCATTTTAACACAGCGTCCTGCTCGCATGCCCACTTGTCTGTTCTCGGCATGCTGCAGTGCTCCAGTGAATTACAGTGCGAATGGGAAGAACAACGTACTAGGCACTTTACAGCCTTCTGGACTTAATACTTCAACACTCTCAAATTGCAAACCAGCTCCTATTTCTTCCCTTTCTTTTAGCATGTTATCATGTCCTTTCCCCCCTCCTCCCTGCCCCCCAACCCAGTGGGAGTTGTCTGTCCTTTCAAGTCTGGCAGTTAGACACACCATTGTTGTGCCACTCCCCTCCACATTTCACTTTGGCTCTGGTGAGGAGTCATCTAGACTTAAAAGGTTAGCTTGCTCTCTCTCCATGGATGCTGTCTGGCCCACTGCGATCTCCAGGATTTGCAATGTTGTGTGTGAAAACAATGTGCAACAACATTAGTTTACCTCCATAGTCACTGGTCAAAATTTTGGAATACCCTCTCTACCAAAATTGTTGGTGCACCCAAACTACACTGACTGCAACAGCACCACATTCTTGAAGGCAACTAGGGAAAGGTGATAAATGCTGATATAACATAGCCCGAGAATGAATAGAAATGAGTAACATTTATTGTGATAACAGTGTTAGTGAATTGTAATAGAACAGTAGACTGAGAATCAATAAAAACTGAGCAACAGGTTTTAAAGTACTTTTGTGTAAAAATGCAGAAGAACATAATATTTTTGAACAGTTTTCTACTCCATGTACAAAATAACGGTTGTGACTATTCACTTACCTGTTGTTGGCTAATAATTCATTAC